GTGCTTTGTTCACTCACTCGAAATGACTGCCGTGATGGTCGGTGGTTCAAGCCCTAGTCTGAACGATCGATTTTTCACTTGCCATTGTCCAACCCGTGTTTGGAATCACACGTTGAAAAGTAGGACCTCGTTGATCCTTAGCTCGCACAATTATGGACTTCTGAGGGTTGTCGTTCATAGGGGTGCGACAGCTAGTTAACGGAAAAAAACAGAAACAGGATTATTTTGATTGCTGGTCGAAAAAATATTTAATTTAGGCAGTGAAGCAACATTTGAGAGCTCCAAAGTCACTTTCTTTGCATGTGAGCCTGAAATATTTAGGAAGTTTAAACTTTAAAATGACTAGAGAGGATTGCTTTCAAAAACTGATCAACTTTATCAGAAGCTTTCTCATTTTGGAGCTTCAATAGAGTAGGGTTATTTATAAAATCCTTTATCGGAATTGAAGTATCAAGAAAATGAGCCTTATGAGCCTGTATAATATTTTTGTGGCGAAATAACCTTATAGAGAAACCTCATTTACAGATTTCAGAAAGAGAGGAGATGTTTTCCATAGCTTTGAAAGATACTGAAATATTTTCTAGCCGGTTTTGTGAAACGATACTCCCATGACTATCCATTAGAAAAATGAAATGTCATCTTAGTGTAACATACAATTTTCTTTCAGACCACAGAACAGAAAATGCCGTCGCAACCATGCTCCCAACTAATAATCTCAGTAATTCATAACTAGCAGGAAACTGCAAGCATAATATTTGATAACAAAGCTTCCAGCTATAATACGTCGCATCACACATCATGTAATAATACAAATATTCACTGACCTCGAAACAGTTTTCCATTTTCTAGAGACATATTTGTGTTTGTGTTAGAGGAACATTGTTTTCTTATCTGAAATTCACGATTGGAAATCGATCGATAAGTACGAAGAAAAGATAGTAGTCCGGTCAATTTAGACATTCGAAGCTACCAAAATGAAATAAAATATGAATAAAAATGAAATTTGAAATTTCCTCATCATATGGAAAAAAAGTATTCAAGGTCAAAGGTCAAAAAAAAAACGAACGAGTTTTTCTCGATTTTCAGCAAAACGGTGAGTTTTATCATAAAAACACTTCAGACAAAAATTATAGATCATAAAATTATCTTAGAAAAGTGTGTCGATCCTTTTTTTCTACGAACCACCGTTTTTGAGATATAACGATTAAAAAAGTAGTTGTAATTGTCAAAGTGTTTTAGCACATTTTTTAACGTGGTTTCCCCAGTAGGCCTATTCCACGGGTCAGTTGGGATACTGTTTGATTTGAAACTATTGCAAAATAATGGATATTAGCAGATATTGAAAAGATAAAAGCAATTAAAGTTAAAAAAAGTAGTGAAATTTAATTGTCCGAGTCGTAACTTTCAAATTCTTCTTCTTGATCTTCTTGTTCTTGATCTTCTTGTTCTTCTAGTTCTTCTTCATCTTCATCCTGAGTACATGTAAACTGCGTTAATTGCGATGTATCGCATGTCGCCTCGTTGGAATCAAACGGATCCTCCACTGTTGGTGATTCAATATTAGAGTACGACTGGCCTTGACAATGTGTACATGCCAGAGAACAAAACAGTCCGGCTTGCAAGTACATTTAACACTGCACCCCTTTTTGCAGTTGTGAAAAATTGTGTTCAGCAGTTTTTCTGGCGCCGGTAGAAGTGAAGTTTGTACTGGTTCTAATGAATTGTTGACCAACTTCCAACCCCAACTGTAGGGCTAGCTGATAACCAAGCCACAATTGAACTTGTTAATATACCCGAAAAAGATGTTGATGAGCAGCAACTGAAGTTGGAGGAAGACAAGGTGATTGTACTTGTTTTTTTAATTTTGGTACTTTTAACGAAACATGCATATCTATACTTATCTAAGCAGGTTGTTTTTTTTGAAGCTCCGTACATAGCTAGAAGAAAGCGAAGGCCGTTAGTGATAATTTCTTGTCGAGTTGAATTACTATTTTTTAAAACTTCAGCACATTGAACTAAATTTTGTTTTTCAAACATTTTGAAAACTGTTATTTTACCCCCCCCCCCTGTAAAATGCAGATGTCGTATCACATCCAGTTATTGCGTGTAAAAATAGTACATGATTTTGTCACTTTGCAAAAGTAGATACACTTTTTGATGAATACATTTCCGATTGATGCTGAGCTCTTCCTGGTTTTAAGAAGAAAATTGTTTTTTCAGTTGGAGTTCGAGCAGTGAGTAATACGAGTCTACATCTTCAACAACAACAATAGTTATATTTGTCAAACTGAATTGCTCTATTGTTGTTTCAATTATCAATTCATTTGCATCATTATTAGCTTGTTTTACCAATATATCTTCAGCAGTGAATTTTTCTTTCAACATTGAAAATCACGTTGAAAAAAGGCGCCTCAAAGGTGGTGTAGAAACGTGTGCATATTATGACGATCACAACTTTGTGAATCGTCATATCTCAAAAACGGTGGCCCGCAGGAAAAGTATTTCTGTAATGAAACTTGCCGTTTTGCTGAAAATCACGAAAAACTGATGTTTTTGACCTTTTCCTTCATGAAATTTTTTCCATAGAGGGAAAAAATGGGGAACTTTCAAATTTTATTTTTAATCACATTTTGAACAATCTTACTGATTTTCAGCTTGGTGGGAATTTAGGTAGCTTTACTATTATTTTTTGGTCTAATTTGACCGGACTATATATGTAAGAAAATAAAATGGGGGTCTCAAATACCTTTCACTTATTTCCACACAAATACCTGTATGAAGAGAATTTCCTTCAATTCACATTATCATCATGTTCTGAAGTGGATCATTTGAATTTATCATTTCTGCTACACCTTTGATATGTAATTTGAAGTATTTCCATCAAGTTCGATAAATATTTCTCTTATAATATAAATGACAGTATGAAAGTAGAGTAGTTAGATAATTATTCAATATCAAAAGACATACACTTCAAAGTTTCGAGTACTCTTTTACGAAATGCAATCTGGAGAATACTTGAGAGGTTCTCAGAGCAGAATCTGTGCAAAAGAGGCAACGCTGATCATTCAAATTCGAATTGTTGTAGGTCTAAGGTCTGGAGACATTCATTTCTTGAAAACCCCGAACTTCGAACACAATTTTTTAAAAAGTCTAGTTCAAGGTGTACTGAGTTGAACCGTGTGACGATGTGCAGCTGTAGCTTGCTGCATATTTATGATACATGGAAGATAAAAAAGCTTACAAAATCAATTCAAGCAGTGTTTTTGGATTCTCACATCAAATGCCTTCATTGACATATCTCCAGACAACAGAAATCTAAGAAATGTGGTCTAGCGACAATGTAGTGCCCTCAGAACGGTGTCATCGGCAATAGCTGTTGAGATCAAAGTTCTATACGGTTTGAATCAACGTAAAAGTTAAGGTTGTCAAACTTGCCAGAACTTAACCATCAGAATTGCTCCTTTGTCTTCAATTTTATTTTCATTGTTACCTGATTTTTTTCTGCTAGTAGTGTTGGCGTAATTTTGTAGTTCCAAAGTATATGAACACATTCAATGATGATGGAGTTTTGATGGAATGTGAGGTATAGGTATTGCTCGGACTTATTGAAAAAAAAACAAGTATTCAATATTTTGCTTTGCTGACTGCAGCATACTCGTCATTCCATTTGGATTCCAGGACATCAGATGCACATCTGCAACTGTGACTTGCAACTGTGACAGTCTGGAACATCGAAGGTTGGAGATTGGTCCTCCTTTCATAGATACCTTCACGGGATCGCTATTTTCGCACAGCGCCTCAAGGATGTTCCTGTAGTGTTTGTGTTCTGTCTTGAAAAAAACATGATGTAGCTCATTCCGAAACGTTTAAAGTGTTTGTCTCTTGGTTCTATGATTCTTCGACTAATCCATTCATTGATCTTGGATGCGTTAGTATACTATACAGAGTCTTATCACCTCAGCTGAGACTTCTACAGTATAACTGACAGTTGTTCAAAACTATTCGAAGCTTTACCTGCAGTTATAGTCAGCTCTTGTATGATTTGTGAGTTTAACATACTATCTGGTTCTTGTTAGCCGTCCAATTGATCCTCAAGAAAGGAGCTGATTACCAAGTCTTTCATTATACCATGCAATGGCATATGATTCATCACTACCTGTGACGTGTCTGTGACTCATAGGTACGTAAGTTGCAAACTTCTGTAACTCCACTTATACTGATGGACTTTTAATTGATTTGCGTAACTCATGATGAATGATTGTTGAGAACAGATGATTATTTTTGCTACTGAAACTCATATCTCCAAATACACCATATCCAGGTTACCGTTGCTTATTCAATACATTGAAAACATTTCCAGTTCCATTCAAAGTTGGATTTTCAGTGTTAAAACTTGCATCTATCCTTTAATGAAATTGATCACTCAATAGGTCGAATTCAAACTACATATTTGTCGATCATTTTTATACCTACTTCTTTTACACCTCATGAGGAGCTTTTCTTCCTATCTTCCTATCTTCCTATCTTCCTATCTTCAGTCTATGTGAGGTTGGATGATGTCAAAGAAAATGAAACTTCAGGGGTTATGTCAATGCTTTTTCAATCTACCTGGGTTGTGAGGGCTTTATTAGTTCCTTGTGGAAAGAAGACTTTGAAGAAGTTTCGATAGGAGACGAATCTCACTGCTTTCAATGAACGGGATTTATCCTCTTTGTTTTTCGAGTTGGAATTTTTTTCATGTCTTTGTTTTTATGTGTAATTCATGAGTTATTGAACGTTCTGTTACTGTGTGTCTGTATGTGATTACAAATAACCAGTCGAATATGTATCAAGAATAATCAACCATAATTTGATTATATTCCATTATTGCCTTCAGATCATCCACTACATACGAAAAATCATAAAAAACTTTGAGGTCAGTGGATACCAATCACCATTATGATCACCCCCACCCTGTAACCCTACTTTCTCGCAATAGTAATCTTTCTCTTTTATTGCAGAGATATTACTATCTTAGCTATCCGTCTTATGGATATAACTATAGCTACTCTCTCAACTTACCCAGCGACCCCTACTTACCGAAGGTATACAGATGGTACTACTCCTGGCCCAGGGAGTACTATTCCTACTGGCCCTACTTCAGATCCTACCTGACTAGCTACCTCAAGAACTACTATTTGACTGGCACCTGGCCTAGCTCCTATTACTGGTCTTCCTACAAGCCGTATTATAAGAGTTTGGACTACTATTTTAGCGAAATCGAAAATAAAATCGATAATTTGTCAGTGAGTAATGAATAACATGGTTTTAAGGTTGAAGTTGGACAGGTGTTTTGTGAAAAACAATGCTACACGTTTAGATGAACATTCATAGAGTTACTTTTCCTCATTATAAACGAGGCGCAAAAGAACTATATTGGTGGTTCTAATTTTTTTATTGAAAAACACTCGTTTCAGTGGAATCACTCCATAGATGCCATTTCATTCAAAACGTCCTTGAAGTGTCTTCGTATATCGACAATTGTAATAATGATTTGAATAAGTGATTCAAAGATATCAACTCAACTAACCCAACACAAATATGCATTAAAACCTTTTCTAATATGAGTATAGTCATGGTATTGGTATAAGGATAATAATTAAAGGGTAGACTGAAAAAAGAAATAGAAAAACAAACCATTCACAATAACGTATAATAAAAAGTATGACGCCACTATCCAATTGAACTGAGCTGATTTCTATTGCCATGTAAAATTCTATTTTACATGGCAATAGATATTGTCGATATTGACATATCGACAAGTTATATTGTCTAGTGTTTGAACTAACTGGAAAGTGTTTTACAAAGGCAATGTTTGTAAGTATAACTAGAGGAATCTGGGAAGTGCTTGCGGTTGATGAATTTATCATAATTTCTGGTTTGAGAATGCCAGCAAATGTTAAGTTACAATATGTGATGAGAAGGTTTTCTGTAGGTGAATTTGTGACAGAGATTTTCTGATGTTGATTTGTTTGAGCTAGCCACACTTTTGATCAACTTCCTGAGACGATCGTATAAAGTTATTCTGAATTTTCTCACATCCGATTGCATCAAACCAGGTGCGTAGATTATATCACAGCAGTATATTCTAGATACAAAAAGTAATTCGCAACGCTTTAGTTTGAGTCCAGATGTTTTTGAGTCCCTAGTCCAACTCCTTTGTGGAATCTGAGGAAAAAGTATGTCCACAGTCAGAGGAGGTTTATTTCTCACATGAATTGTACACTTCATATTTGTAACCATGAACTCATTAACAAAAGAAAAGGACGGAGTACATTTCATTTGGTGAAGAGACTTCTACTCGACCTCAGTTTCTTCCACTCAACCCCATGTTCTTACACTCAACCCCATTTTCATCCACTAAACCCCGTGTTCTTTCACTCAACCCCATGTTCTTTCATTCAACCCCATTTTCTTCCACTTATTCCCATGTTTTTCCATCCAACCCCATGTTCTTCCACTCAATTTCATGGTATACCAATCGCCCTCAAGTTCTTCCACCAACCTCATTTTCTTCCACTCAATTCCATGTTATACCACTCACTCCCACGTTTTTCCACTCAACCCCATGCTCTTCCACTCAACCCCATGTTCTTCCACTCAACCTCATTTTCTTCCACTGAACCCTATGTTCTTCCACTCAACCCCATGTTCTTTCACACAATTCCAAGTTATACCAGTCACTCCTACGTTCTTTCACTCGAACCCATGTTCTTCCACTCAACCCCATCTTCTTCTACCCAACTCCATGTTCTTTCACCCAATTCAATGTTATACCACTCACGCTCACGTTCTTCCACTCAACCCCATTTTATTTCACTGAATCCCATGTTCTTCCACTCAATCCCATTTTCTTCCAGTGAACCCAATATTGTTTCAACCAACCCCATGTTCTGCCACTCAATTCCATGTTACACCACTCACGCCCACGTTCTTTCACTAAACCCCATTTTCTTCCACTGAATCCCATGTTCTACCATCCAAACCCATTTTCTTCCACTCAATCCCATGTTATACCAATCGCACTCAAGTTCTTCCACCAACCCCATTTTCTTCCATTCAATTCCATGGTATACCACTCACTCCCACGTTCTTCCACTCAACCCCATTTTCTTCCACTGAATCCCATGTTCTTCCTTCCACCCAACCCCATTTTCTTCCACTCATTTCCATGTTATACCACTCACCCCACATTCTTCCACTCAACCCCATGTTCTTTCACTCAACCCCATGTTCTTCCACTCAACCACATGTTCTTTCACCAACCTCAATCGATTTCCTTGTATTTAGCATTGATTTTTGTTAGACCGGATCGAGGTACGGATGGAGTCGGCCAATACTTCAAGTAACCTTATACTGTGAGATTTTCACAAAACAGTTAACCAAACCGCAGAAAATAATTTTTTATAGATATAATAGGGAGGTATGAAATAATTTTTCGAAGTGGTTTTCAAAAATTTGAGAGAACTTTCCTGAAGCAACTGAAATTTTGGGTAAGAAATAAGTTTATCTTTAATTACATGGTAGTCATTCGTCATATGGAAAACATGCTCTTGTTATTCAACTATAGAGCTTATTTTTAGGCATGAAATCTAACCGACCTCGCGCTTGACAATCATCTTCTAGAAAAAAGTGCCTGAGACAGTTCGAAAAAATTTAAATCATCGCCAGGTGTTGAGGTGCAGAACATTTTTTTATATAGAATCGTGAGTCATTGATTGGCGGTGCATAATGGATATTAGTTTATTTGCGAATTTTGGAACGGGCCCAATGAGCTTTGTTTAAATAGTCGCTAGTGTCGGAAAGTGCTCACTGAAAACAGTGGTATTGTGGAAATCAGTTGGGAATAAACTGCGTAGATTTGAGCAGGAAACTTTAGGTAAGTGAAAACGTTTTGAGATTTTTGGAAATATGGAAGATATTGTCACTGAACGAATTTGAAATGGATTAAGTAAGTTGATGGAAAACGACATTGTTGGGCATGGCATGCAGGTTTCCATGCCTGAAGTTTCGTCTTCAACTGCGGTATATACTATCTAAAGTAAATCAATGATTGCAGTGCCTTTGCTTTGTGAAAGTAAACAAAAATCCTTGCTTTGAGAATCTCTATGACCAAATTTTGATACATAGTTAGTAAATAAACCAAGTCAAGTTGATTTCGATGACCCATGAACAAAACCGAAAAAAATGGCTACATAGATGATTGAGTAAATTGAATTATCAGGATCTATGGAATTGACGAAGTCAATGATGATCTGAGATTCTGCTGAATGGGATATCATTATCTGTCTTCTTCTAGCTACAAATGCCAACATTACTATTTGGTAAAGTTCGCAGGGAAATCACAAAAGAAATGACTCAATATTAAAGACACAGCAATCTAATTATTGTTTAGTATTGTTGATGAATAGGAGTGAGATATATTTTTTGGATTTGTAATTATTCTCGACTTTGTGGATATTTAGTGTATTATTCTCTTCGATTCTCCATTGTCTTACCGTATATTGTATAGTTTCGGTAGTTTTTATCATGTCCGAAGAAGAATTATTGATGAAGTGTTTTTTTCTGTTCCAAACTTGATGGATGTGATGAGTTCAGAAGTAGAAAAATCCATCTAGTATAAACAGAAATTATAATACTTGAATACATCATATGAACATGAAAGAGTCAGGACACTTTCGTATTATCTTGCCATTTGCAAATTTCCATATATTAATACATTTTTCGTATCTTGTTTGTAGAAAAATGCTCACTTATCTAAGGAACCCAATATCTGGGTACGAATACTCTTTTTGGCCTGACGCAAAATTCTTCTACCACTACAAAATCTATCGACCTCTGAGCTTTCACTCAGATTGGCCAATTACAGCAAGAGAATGGTACCCAGAGTACTGGCCCAGTTATCATTCATACTGGCACTATCTTAGAGATGTACCAAGCGAGGAATCCTTCAGACAGCTCAGGGTAAGTAACTAAAGTGACTGAAACAATGATCTACAAACTATAAATCATATATTGAAATGTTCAATACTGAGATATTTGGAGTGTTTGAAAAATCATACAATCGAGAGCAATCAGTGTTATTTGTTGATACTCATCTGATATTTTTGATGAAATTACCACTTGGTTTCATCCATTCCAGAAAAGGAATACTTTTATTATGGTTTTCCAATCAGTCTGTCTCAATACTAATTCCTTCCGTGTGACTTCACCCCCTTTCATCGTTATCATGGGTTTTCAAGGAAATGACCTATAATTTTTCTGTTACCTAATCGGAAATTTGATCATCATGAAGAAAAGATACCAGAATTTTTCAGGTTATTAATATTTTCAAGCACTCAAGAATCTCATATGTTCTTTCATTTTTTGAAAGAAGTTTCTCTATGTTTGGCCAATATAAACTACCTACTGAAAATATCACAATTAAGTGTTTTTTGGATACGTTATGGATGTTCATCAAGTTTCTGACAGTTTCATCCCATACAATGTTTTACGTTCAATTGCAGGTTAAGAACAATCTGTATTGGTCTGATACACTGGTCTCATAGGATTGAGAGATAAACCGGCAATGTTGGTGAAGAAGAACTGACATTTGATCGAATATATGTATATATAGGTTATTTATTGCTGCCGAATGTATATTTTTATATTACGATGTTTCAATAAAGATTTGAAATAATTAAAAACGTGTTTATATTTGTTTACTACATTTTCTAAAATACTATCAAAATATGGAAACGTACTTTGAGATTTCCAATAGTCTTTGTTGATTGTAAAGGTAGTAAAGGTGAATGTATAAATAAAAAATGTAGGTGATCGAAACCTGCATATGATTCGTTGAATAATTTTTCAAAATGTCATACTCGTGAATAAGATTGTGCAATATCATTATAGGGTTGCCTATCTGTATCATTATTAAAGTATTTTGCAAGTTCCCTAGTGAATTTCAGCATCTAATATGAATTTGCACAAATTTTATTGATGTGTAGTTTATTTTGAAATACGTTTGTTTGAATGTTTCTTGATGAATTTCACTAGTTCGGACTTCCATTGTCTAATATATGGAATGATTTGAAATCCCTGAAACACCTGGAAAAGAAGAATTGATAATGAATGACTGAAGAAAACAATTATATTAAGCAAAAATAACCTGAAATAAAATATAAGTAAAATATAAGTAAAAATAGAACGATTGAACAAAAAATAAAGAAATAAAAATGAAAATAAAATAAAAAGTTAAGAGATTCCAAGGCCACGTTGGTTCACGACGTTTCGATTGTTAGTATCTACAATCATCTTCAGGTGATGACTAGACTGATTCCTCCGAGAGATGACTATTTATGGGTCGTTGGAATACTTTCACTTATCACCGCCTTCCATTTTTTCCACTTCACTGGTTGAGTGGGAGATGACCGTTTGGCGGGAGTTGACCATTTTCCGCCTGATGATGGGTTTCCATATGTTGCGTATCTCTACGCTAGCTTGGCTGAATATGTTGTTGGACAGCATATATGCGGCTTCCTTAAATTTTCTCCTAAACCAATGTTCCTCTTTGTGTATGATCTCAGCTTGGGACCACTCGATGTTGTGTTGATGGGTCCAAACATGGTCTGCTATTCCTGATTTGCTGTGAATAAACATTGTAAAGAAATGAAAATATGGCATCGGAAGTGTTTTTTTGCTTTTGGAAACCAAACTGGCAATCACTTATTATTTTGTTTTCATTCAGAAAGCACAGGAGTCTTGTTTTAACTAGTTTTTCTATCAATTTAGCCATTGCAGAGATTAGAGAAATTGGACGAAGACTTGATGGACCATTGATGTTTTCTCCCTTTGGCAATGCTAACACAATCGACTTCTTCAAAAAAACTGGAAAGATTCCTTCTCTAAATGAATTATTTATTAGACTGACTAATATATCGAGTATTCTTATCGGAATATTTTCCCCTCGCTGTGTGTGTTTCTTGTGCTCGGCAATGCGAACATTCAATGGCCTCTTAGTTTCATCAATATAGGATTTTCCGCACTCACAGGGTATCCGATAAATGCAATTCTTGGAATCGCAGTCCGCGTTTGGTGGCCTGGTTTTCGTGAGGTTGCTACGGATAGTGGCATGCCAGATCTGAAGCAGGTTCTGATGTTGAACTTGGAAACAATTCTTTTTATCCTCTCCGATACTCCTCTGATGTAGGGAAGTGCAAGCACTGGCTGTGACAGCATCTCTTCCTTGCCTTTTAGCCAAAGTCTCTTCTACCATCGCTTTAGAGTAGCCATTCCGTTGAAGATCATTTTTGATGATGTCTAGTTCCTTCTCGAGACATTTCTTCGTATTACAGAGCCCGAAAGCACGTCGATTGATGGTGTTTGGATTCGAGGTTCCGATACTGTCCCGTGTGGGTGGGATTTCGCTATATAGATGTTTCCCACTCAATGTCGGTCCTCTTCACCAAAACGTGTGAGAATGGCAATTTGTTGTGGATTTCCTTCTCCATTGTGAGAGTAATGGAAGGTCTCATGCTGTTGATACGTTTCAGCATGAGTGGCTGAAAAATTCCATTGGAATCTGTCTTTTCTGAAGGTCACTCTTGTATTTGAGGAGGAATATGTTGAGATAAATTACTTAATCGCAATGATTTTCACGTATTCTAGTAAATGCGTGTGATTGTCAGTTGTTGATTGTTTTGTAATTAACATTTGGTATGAATGAAGTGTTGACAATGTAGAATAAATAAGAAGGATAATAATAGGTTATCTATAAATAACAGTACGGGATGGAACCCAACCTTTTTCCGTTTTCATTGTTATTTATTCAAATGTAAAATAACATGTATTGTAAGCATTTGAATATAACCTGAAAAGAAATGAACTATCACAAAGAATAACAGAATATTAGTGATGTGAGTATCTGAAAATCATCTTGGAGATCAGTCCACAAAACTCCATCTCCTATCTTTACTCTGATTGTTTTGTAAAATAAGGTGAAAGAGAATGATCCACTTCGAATTTCCAATCATTTCACAATCCTAATTTTCCTGCAAGTTTCAAGAGAGAAACTTATATAAAAGAACCACCCGGAAATGTAGATGTATCCCTGTTTCCAAGAGTTTCGATGCAAAAATGGCGGCACGTGTACCTCCGATATTGTAACAGGACTGAAATTGGTTTTCCATTCTCTTTGAGAGGCATACATGTGTATGCCAAATTCAGAAATATATTATTTCTGTTTGATATACGAGTTGCTTGTGACGAGATTGTTTCGGATGACAATTGATACACTCACGTAATGCGTGGGTATGTTGAATCAGTGGCGTTTCCGAAGGGCCCTAATTATTAATTAATATGCTTTATTAACAAAGCATGTAGTCCAACAAAATGAAGAAGTGATTCATCAGCCGAATAAAATCACAGTGAATCGTATATGCTCAATATATCAGTAACATTCGCTCTTTCTGCTATTGATACCACCATTCTATAGCATGGCAGTGGCGGAACTGAACTACATCGAGTAATTGACACTGGTAGAAAAAACATGTACTAGTTCTATTGAATTTGAAATTTCTCAGGCACACGAACAATCTAAGTAAATGAAAAATAATCTGCTGACTGTTGAGCTATTAGAGAAGGCTCGAATGAATTTGGGAAATCAACCGCAAAATCAGTGTATTGTGACCTGATATGATTCACACGTACGTTATGATATTGCATTTTGGGGAGTTTGTATCAGTTGTTTGCTTTAAAGTGTATTTGTGAAAAACACAATATTTTCATATTTGTATTCACATTCGTAATATCAACATTACGTTATCCTTTACGCAGAAGGAAAATAATGAAAAGATAATAAGTGTACTAACCCGACGTTCACTACACGAGTTCGTCGATGTTGATGAGCTCTCGCCCGCCAGATGATCTACTGCGCATCCAATATTCAGAGGCACATCTAGACTGGCCGAACAGATATGCTATTTGCGATTACTGTAACTGCTATTTGCTCTTAGTAAAGGCATTTCTGGTGCCACAGTCTGAAATCTATTTTTATTCTGTATTTATTTTTGAGTATATATACAATATGTGTGAGTGTATATATCGATATGTCTGTATATATTGTGTCCGAAGTGATGTAATGTATGTATATAAACACAGTGAATGTATACTTATATCTACATATATATAACGAAAAGATGACTGACTGACTGACTGATATAGTGATCTATCAACGCACAGCCCAAATCACTGGACGAATTGGGCTGAAATTTGGCATGCTGGTAGATGTTATGACGTAGGCATCCGCTAAGAAAGGATTTTGATCAATTCTTTCCCCAAGAGAATAAAATATGGAATGAAAGTTTGTAAGAAACTTTCTCAATTTTAAACTGATCGGGCTGAGACTTTGCATGCATAAAGCTACCATAACGTAGGCATCCCCTAAGAAAGGATTTTGATAAATTCCACGGGGATAATGGAGGATGTAAATGTATTAGTTTGAACCTATCAGTACCTAGTGGAACGAACAAAATGATTTTTAGTTTTAAATGTTGACAATAGATGGCGTTAGTAGTATTTCAAAATGCGTTATCGTTTCACTGAGTTACATATACCCGATGATGAGTGGCCGCCGTATCTAATAGTACATACTATACCTTCCTTCAAAGAACAATCAAGCAGCAGCTATCAACGATATCCTACTCATATCGTTTGAGAGTGAAGAAAAGGTCTATACTTTGATTGATACTATGGTTCATACAGATGACGCTACTAATTACCCTGAAGAATTTTTAAATTTATTGTTTATTTTACAATAAACAAGTCTCAGGGGCAAACTCTCAAATTTGCGGGTATTGACTTGAGAGAACGTTGCTTCTCTCATGGTCAGCTTTATGTTGCTTGCTCACGAGTAAGTTCACCCAATAGTTTGATAGTTTCAGCGCCTAATGACAGATTAGTTAAGAATATTGTGTACAAAGAAGTTTTGTAGCCCCTAATTTTTTACACACGCTAAACAAATATAAAGCCGCAAAAACTATACCTAATTAATAATGATACTTCTTAACGCGAGCAAAGCCGCGGCAAAAGCCAGTCTACTATATTTTTGATGCACTTACTGTACATTTTATTCTTCATCAACAAGAATTTTTTTCCTTCGACAATAAACTAGGATTGATTAATTGTATGAGCGAACAAACAAAAATTGATGAAATATGTCAAATAAATCAACATGAATCATTTTCAGGACAGAATATTTGAAAATTCGAAAGGAGTAATTAAAATATTCTTGCAAACTCAATTTATCTTTCATGAGCATTCTAAAATGTTCGATAGGTGAAACTGGGCTGTAACGGAAGAGGAAAAACATTCACCAGAGAAAATTAATGAAAGGACATTCAATACTGAAAAAAAATGTATACAAATCAGTGAAGAATCAATATTCATCAAAAAATTATTTTCAACTTGAATACTATATGTGGAAATTTTGATTTCTCAATACTTGCAAGTGACCACTTTGTCCCTTGCGGGGTTTATTGTGGACTCACTTTGGACCTAAGCTAACCTGACCCATATCATCGGGTAGACTTGAATGGAACAGGAAACTGTTATAATTATAATTTCGTTTTATTAATATGAGAGTTCAATAACAGACTATATACTCATAACTGCAGACTTTCTGAATTCTATTGGCTCCTCTTCTGGAACTCTTAAGGTATGGAGATTATATTTATAAGGAACACATAGGAATAGTGAACTTTGTTTCTTTCATCTGACTGAATAAATATGTATGAAATGATATTGAGGCCATTATATTCGCCTCTGAAAATGTATGTCCCTTCTAAAATTCATACAGAGAGTTCTTAATGAATGTTTGTTATTTCTAAAAAGAGTGTTTTATGAGTTGTATAGAAGTGATCTAATATTTTATCATTGTCATACGAAAATCGATGGTCAACATCAATGGTGTTTCCTGTTCTCTTAACGTAGTTATCTGTTTTATTTTTGCTTTCTGCTAGGAGAAGAATTGTTCAACAGTTAACAATAACGCATTTTTGAATAATTCACTGTAAAAGCCCAAATGATATTCTGACAGTATGATTCCTTGCAGATTTTCTCAAATCGACACGTGTACTAATGACATGCACGGATTGCATGCTGTTCATTATAGTTTTTGGCAAAAATTCTTAAATATAATTTCCTGGCAAACATTACAATCAGTATAAAAACAATTTGCCGCATATAATCATTGTCCAGTGTTTGAAGAATCCCAGCAGTATTAATATACAAAAGTTTCAAAGTAAGTAAAATAAACATTTTATATTTTCGTGATTTGAAATAGCTTGTTCGGATATTATTAATAGTATGCTGAATTTGAAATTCAAATGATTCTGGCATGCAACATTAGTGAAAATATGTTTTAACGTAGAAATGTTTTGAATGTAAATTCTTAGGAGCTATTTATCACAAAAGCATGATATACATAAGTTTTCTAAATACTCGTTGAGTTCAAACCATTATATCGACTGAATGTTGCAGATGTTGAAATTGCGGTATGATCATCTTTTCGGTAGCAAGATTTGTTACTATCCACATAGTAGGTACTACCATGACGACACCATGGGTTTCTATTGGCCTTTGAGGTCGTATTATTGGATGCAACCATACTGGCCAGAACATATGAGGAACTTGTGGCCAACGGAACATCACCTCAGGCAAATCAGGGTGAGAATATACAATGAAAATAGATAACTTGTCTTTTTTTCCATCACTTGATTATATATTTGAACCACTGTGTCAATAATTTTTAACAGAGCTGGAAGGAAAGAAAACATTGATTAGTTACATTCAAATATTATTTGTTTCATTAATTCATGCATTCCATTAATCGTTCAAATAATTGCAAAAAACTCCTCTTCATAATAAAAGGTATACTTACTATCTTTTACCTATTTTCCAAAGCTTAACGATGACACTAGATTCATTTTGCAACAAAGTCCTTCTCTTAATTTCCATATTCTTTCGTTTACACAAAATTGAGACTATCCAAAAATTCATTGCAAAGCAATATATTGCATCCTTGGTTTTTTCTAATAAGTCGTTGATATAGAATTCATTTTTACCTGGATGTGTCATTATATCACGTGCAAGCAGTTTTAACTGCTTCTGTGATTTTTCTGCTTATTTGTTTTTCACAGGTGTGTAACATTTTACTTTATTATGCAAATAAATATTATTATTATTATTATACAATAAAAAAAAAGTTGGAGGCAATATGGATCCCTGGAGAACACCAGCATTGTTGGTCTTTTATTTCAACCCTATTTATTTTGTAGAATGTCATCCAATACACATTGGATTTCGTATGATAATTTCTCTTTGGAAAAACATAATAAAAGAGGTCCCATATTGAAATCGCCAAATTTTTTCAAGACTAAAATTTGATTCATTTCTAATTGAGAATTCCATATTATGGATTATAAATAATTGTTATTATGATTGCAATTTTTATCATTACGATACATTTATTTTTGTCATCAATTGATTTTAAGATTCTTTAAGATATATATTCAGAAATGATGATTATAATCCCTAGTTTTGAGATACATTAGGAAAATTTTTGTAATGAATTCCTATTGAAAAACTATGTATGAATATTATTTTGTTGATAAAATTTATATCTATGTAGCACAATGTTCAAAGTTAATAATTAGTCAATTTTATAAAACCAACCAACCAAGCAACCAAACAACCAACAAACATCCATTTTTATATATTAGATTACTGCATCTGTTGTTTAAACAAATGTTTTTGCCAATTCCACAAACAACGGTTTTATATAATGCTAGGTATGATAGGTTGCCTTTTATGTTTTGGGATTTGGCAACCCTAGTGTTACAATCTATCTATCGTAAAGTTGGACATTTTTGAGCTCATACGTACTAACAACGTTTTGACATAGGCGCGTTATTTGTGTTGTTTACAGTAAATTAAAATATTCATCTCGGCCCAAAAATGTAATTAAATCGTGAACATTTTCGTGCGATTAATTTTTACAACTTTCGATGTGGATTAACTCAGCAACAGTGCATAGATGAACTCAATCGCGGTGCTTCGAAACACGTCTATGACATCGTGACAGGTAATGAATTGTGGATTTACGCGTATGAGCCCGAAAATAAACAACAGTCGATTGTATGGGTGTTTCAAGATAACCGAAATCCAACAAAAGTTGTTCAACTAGGAAGCATTTCCAAGCAAATGGTCGCCTGTTTTTTCGGAAAAACTGGACAGGTCCCAACCGTACTAGAACAACGCAGAACAGTCAATTCTGAGTGGTACACAATCATTTCTTTGCCAATTATATTCCTAGAAATCAAGAAAACCAACTGCCGAAGACGTATCACTCTTCACCACGACAATGCTAGCCCTCACACATCGGCTCAAACAAGTGCATTTTTGAGAACCCAAAACATCGATTCGGTGAGTCATCCGCCGTATAGTCCTGACTTGGCACTGAATGACTTCTTTTCATTCCCGCACGTAAAAAAAATGAGAGGTCAACGTTTTTTGACACCTGAAGAAGCGGTTGCTGCATTCAGAATGCATGTTTTGGAGATACCTCAATCAGAGTGGCAAAAGTGCTTCGATAATTGGTTCAAACGCATGCGAAAGTGTATCAGTGACGGCTCGTGCATTGGAGAACAGGGGAGGCTTAGGGCATGGGCATGACAATGCGTAAAAAGTGCATGAGGAGCTATGGACTTTATTTTAGTTTGTAAACCATTTAAATGGCCGGCCATGACCGCAACCCCATCATAGGTTTGCGCAATTATTTTTTGCCTAAAATTATAGGTGTCACACGTACGAATTAAAAAATTAAACAAATCGTCAGCTGTGCGCCCAGATGAAACATCATGAAAACCCATAAAACGTTCTACCACATTACCATCTTTGACATATCTAAAAACGATTGAAAGTTGTGATGTACAGGTAATATCGGTAGTTTCATCAATTTCTCATGCAAAAAAAGAAACACTTTCAATCTCCTTGCTTATATTTTCCTCAATAATATATGCCACACTGTCTATAATAACCTCATTTTGGATGGTCTTTGAGGTGCCCGAAAAAACGCTACCGTTTAAAAAAGTGCCAAATTGTGAATCATATTTGCCCCATAACACGAGGTAAATTTTTCAAATCGAAGTATCCTATTTTAGACCACGTTTGGTATTCGGTTTGTACGGAAAATAAAAAACAGGGTCAACAAAAAAGTTTTTCTCGTTAAATGGAGCCGGTTAACCAGTCGCATTTATCGTAGCAACTAATATTAAATCCTCGATTTTGTCGATTATCTGACGATTTAATTGAAATCAAATTTGGTTGAGGCCTTCCCAAAGTTTTAATAATGTAAAATTTATTATCATAACATTATTTGTCAGCAATCAATCGACTTTATCGTCAGATTTTTTAATTTCGTCCAACTTATCCAACTTAAAAAAGTTACCGAAAAGTGAAAACCTGAAAACACCTTGAAATTGAAAGAAAACACCTTTAAAGCACTGCTATAATAAAATACTGCCTGTTTTGTACACAAATAACAAATATTATCGAGAAACACTAAAACTATTTACCGGAATATTTTTTAGTCCCGGTCCGTCACGGTATCCCGTCCGAATAATTAAATAAAAAACAAACGCAGTCGTACACTAACGGAGACCAACTGGAGGCTAGCCTCCTCTGACGCTTTAATTTCTGCAGCTGAAATTACAAATCGGGACGTATGTCAAGCGGTCGGAGGCTTGGCTCCCTTGCAACGTATGGCATTTATTATTTCGGGTTGATAGTTTATTCGTTATTCGTTCATGGGCGGTGTTGTCATGAGTTTTGTTGATGCAGGATACAGTGTAGTACGTACTACGTAGTGAGTGATAGTGTTTCTCTGGGCATATTATGTATTTATATTAAAAATTAATGGTAAAGTAACGATACCTAAGCATTTAAAAAAAAATCATAATTATTTGTCAATATCTTTTAATTTATTGCGATCAATAGCCTCAAATGTTATGGGGAGGCTAAGCCTCCCTTGCCTCATCTAACGAACCGCCGCTGAAGTGTATAGATCTTCACGGGGAATATTTTGAAAAACAGTAAAGTCATTTTCGATGATTAATATGTGTTTTTGTTCTGTAATCCGGAAATATAGAAGGAAATCCTTTATTATATGAATAACCTAATCTGAAATTTGCATACAAATAAATGAACAATATGATTTTTCCATTCATCACAATGTTTCCTAATATTACTGTACCGTTAAAATAAATTTTGGGTTCTATCGCTACAGGAAAGTTTCAGCTACCAATAATTTTTTGAATAAAATAATTCACAGTGTTTCAAGTGACCGCAGAAACCCGTTAGGAGCAGTTGAATTTTCTTTGAAACACCAAAATTTCAAAACATTCAATTATTTTCAGGTACGGAACAGTTTATACGCAGTTTAACTCCAAAGAAATCAGACGAGCATCAACTACAGACTTGAACATTTCCTCTCCTCCCATTTGGAATTTCCACGCCATTCTTCGCCGAATGAAAATATCTCAATGAGTTTTAGAAACCGGTTTGGACTTCTGAAGATAATGTAGAAATTCGTTTATGGAAAAATAAATCTCATGACATTTCAATTCTGTTTTATCTCTATCAGATTGCATCCTTTCCCCGGGGAACGAAGGAAATCCATTATGGTCTAACGTTGGAGGATTGCGACTGGTTTTTCTATTTGCAGTTGGGGAAATCGCTTATCAAATCAAACGCACGGATTACGGTACAGAAAAAAATGATGAATTGAATCGTCTACAGCGCTTGACAAAGCTAGTGCCGTTTTTTGTCCTGGAGATGAATAAAGATAGGGTTGTCAGCCAAGTAAACACAATTCGTGAAAGGGTTTTAGTTTTGAGATTTTGGAAGGATTTACTAAAGTTTTTCTTCGAGGTTAGAGGATATCCTTTCCATCGAGATAATACTCCCAAAGTAATTTTGTCTGTACTCAAAATAGTGAGAGACTGGAAAAGGAAAAAAATATGGTAAGCTTCCAAAAAAAGAAGACGGCAATCAATTGCCAAATAAACTTTTTACAAAGACTTATTGATCATGCAAGGAAGTAACTTTCAGACACAAACTGGAAGTAAAAGCCCTCTCAAAATAACTACTTTCAAAAAAAAAACTAATCAATACAGTTTATTGTATGATTTTCACTATAAAAGAGTTTTACAAAAACAGCGGTTTTTGTACAATACCATAAACTGTATAGTGAAAATCATACAATAAACTTTATTGATTCGCTTTTTCAATATGGATTTTCATCAAGTATCGGCCAGTTCTATTCAATAACTATTTCATATAAACACATTAAATTATCCGAAGGGAAGAATATTTTATTTCGTTGTTCATTTGTCATCAATCATCACAGTGCACCTGAATTTAAACGTGGCTGTAAGCGCTTGGGACCGATGCACGTTTGGGACGCCCAAAAACTTAAACTACTGTCGAAAAAATCGCCAAAATTCACCAGAAGGCGAGAGAGATAGCAGATATTATGAACATGTTAAACAAATGTGTTTGTCACATATTTAATCAATATTTATACATGAGAAAGCTGTACGCGCATGGATTACTGTAGATGAAACTTGGATATACCATAATACGCCCGAAACAAAAATACAGTCGAAACAGTGGACTCCAAAGGGAGATCCGGCTCCAAAAAATGGAAAAACTGTTTTTTCGGCTGTGAAAGTGATGGCGACTGTTTATTGGGATGGTCATGGAGATCTTTTAATCGATTATCTTCGGGAACAAAAACCATCACAGGAGCATTCTACGCATAATCACTTGACAAGCTGAAGGCAGGAATTGTCAGTCATGGCGATAATCCACGAATTACAGTTTGAACTGCTTGACCATCCTCATTACTGACCAGATTTGGTTCCAATTGACTTCCTTTTCGTTTCCTCATCTAAAAGTTTCGCTGGAAAGACGGATATTTCCGTCAAATGAAGTGACAATCACCTTGCACAATTATTACGCAGAGAAAAACGCCGAGTGATATTTGGACGGGTTATACGGATGGGAGCATCGCTGTGTAGAGTTGAAAGGAGACTATGTTGGAAAATAAAAAAATCTGAAAAAATGTGTTGTATCTTTGTAGGTCGGAATCTTTCGTATATATTGAAAGGGTTCTATTTTCAGGAGTGACTAATTTTTTGGGAAAGAAAATTGTTGGCTTTCTATTACTCCATCTTGATACAAAGAAAAGAAGGAAACAATCAATTTTAAGAGAAGTAACTCTATACAAAAATTTATAGATCATACAAAGAAGTAACTTTCAGACACAAACTTGAAGAAAAAGTCAATCATCTGCGGTTCCATTCAATATTGGGGGTATTTACCCCAAACAGATCTTCATAAAGAAGACTAGAAAACTTTTCTGTACTGTAAATCAAACGGGGTTAAAAATTGGAGTTTCCTCAATTGCTGAATACTATCTGTCTTCCGCAACAATATACACTCCGATTATTAACTTGGGCTGAGCTGTTTTCGCTGAGTAGATTTATCACCTTAACATGTCGGAATTTATCCTATTCTCCGTTTACGTTCGAACAGACAAGTTTCTGGCCGTGTTCCAGAAGTGGAAGCTTATATTGAGTGAATTCACCTTACAAACATCAAAATTCTAGTGGTTTGAAAGGAGCTGATTATTCACGAAAGGTAAGTTGGCAGAGAATAATATAAACTGAGTTTTAAATTAGTGCTAATACATCATTTTCTAACATACAAACGCTTTATATATGTATCAATTTTCATACATATCTGAGATTCAATTTGTTATGTTTTTTTATTCAGGCATATTTTTAAATTTCGTGAATTGTTTTTAAAGTAAGTGGAAAGATAAGTGACAGCAACATTATTTAAGCTGACGACAAAGCTAAACAGTACCTTTATTTTGTTCTGCTTTAGTTTCAATGGTGAATATTATAGTTCTGGATATGTGAAATATTTTCACTCAAAGTCATCATACTTAAAATGAGAGTCAGTATAAAAAATTCAATCGTTTTGAAAGTCTTACACAACAATATTTATTTTAGTTACTCAAACATTATTTTGTTTGATAATGTTTCAGAGTTGGATAAGTAATACAAAAGCTCAACATTTTTACCTTTCAAGAATCATTTGATAGCCTTATAATCTTTATAAATGTATATGATATTGTGTTCCTTATCATGTTATGAAGACATCAAAGGAACACATAACTGATGGAAATGAAGCAAGAATGAAACATTTAGCTTCCATTGGGAGAAACAGATAAAAAAAATGAAATTTTAAGCAAAATAAACTTTCAGTGATAGTCTTCCAATAAATTCTTCTCATTTTTTTTCATATTGAAATACACAATATAAATAATTATTTTCATTTATAAATTATCGTGACTAATGGTGCAATTTTCAATAATTTTCTTCATATCAATAGTATAATTCAGCTTTATTAGTTTGAGAATTGGTTTCAAATCGCTGAGTTGAATCGATAAAGGTTTTTCATGAATATGTAATCATGCAATAATTGTTTCACAAAATTAATTTGCAGTTTTCAAGTTTGTTCAATTGAATTCAAGAAAAGTAATATCATTAACATTTTTTCAGTATTTGAATTTAAGTAAGTATATCTAATGTGAGTTTGTTGAAAAATAATTGCTTTTTCTAAACAAATTCAGTTTGGTTGTTTCCTCTAAGTAAAATATTTCGAATACTTCGATAAAAGTAAAGGATTGGATGTGGCTTGCCAGGCAGATTTTTAATTTAGCAAATTTATTATAAAAAATAATGACAATGCTTCAGTGAGGGATACATTAGGAGCATATAAGTTGACTTGTGGTTCTTGTCCAAAACTTTATATTGGCCAAATGGGAAGAACCTTATTCTATGAATAAAAGAACATAGAAGAAGTTTCTTGGATGTTTACTCCAAGTCCACAATTGCAAACCACTTTTCGACAGACAAACATAAATTCAACCATGACCATGAAGTATTGAATGTGGAAAATGAACCTTTGGAAATCAATCTTTTGGAATGATCAAATAGAATTTTATTCTGAAATTACATGTCTATTCAATGAATTGATGAAATTTTCTTTAATGCTGTTTAAATTTTCAATCAGTTTTTACCTGAACTCAGGTGAAATCATCAGTCATTATATAAATGAAAACTCACTGGGGTGAAAATATGAACAAATTCATACACTCTTGAAATTGTTTTCTTACTGAAAACTCTCAAATAATTCATTGATTTAGGATTGAATGGAAAACGCAGTATTTCATATCATTCATTATCATCAAATGCTTCATGTGAATTATTGAAAGTCTTGCAGAACAAAATCTTGGGAGGTATTTTCAAGTTAGATTGCAAGAAATCACTAATCGAGTTTTGAAATCACAAAATATTTTGTACACATAAATATTAGGAGCGTTGTTTGTGTGTTGAAAAATTTACCGGAATAATTGAAGAATATATATTCTACGTGATGAATGTCTTCGAATAATTTACTGCACTCTTATCAAGTTATAATTTTTTTCAAGTAAAATGCTTAAACTACGATACGATCCGTCATATGGCAGCCGCTACCAATATCTTCCAGTACCTTCTTCCAAATTCTACTGGGATTACAATACTTATGACCCTCTTGACCTATACGAGCCTACAAGATATCGGCTCTGGTATCCCCATTATTGGCCTTCCCATTTACTGGACTATGTCCCCACCAGATATTCTCTAAGACAGTTGAGAGTGAGTATAAAAATATGAAGTTTTGGATATTCAATTTTATTTTATTGTATTCCAGTTGAGAAATCACCTTTACAGCTTGTGATCAACTGTTGTGGTGTTCATTGGAAGATATAAAAGATATTTTGATTGATTATTGTTCCTGCCTTCATCGATACTGTTTATGAATGTGATAAAGTTGAGATAATAAATATTATTTTTCGACAAAATAATTTGGTTTGATTCCTGAATGCAAAACATCATTGAGATAAGACAAAGTTAGAAATGTAGGTAGTGACGCCAGATAAAAATGAGAAGCAGAACATGGGAGTGGTTTTTGCGAAACTCAATTTTGTTTTTCTTCTTCAAATATCTGAAAAGAGACTGAAAATCATCTGTAAGTTTTTGTTGAACCTATAATATTTTCATGGAGATATTTGAATTTTCTCACAATGATAGTTGTGAACTGAATATTTCAGGGCTTATGGAAGCAAAACTCAAAAATAACTCATGAAATTCTGTCGAATAAGCTCCAATTGCATTTGGAAATATCAAAAACTAGAGGGATGTTTTTCGTTAGTGTCAATAAGATGAGAAAAAACTTGGGTTGATCTCAATGAAAATATATAAACTTTTTTCAGTGAAGTTGATGATTCAGAAAATATAATGGAATCTCTTTAAAAATCATATCATATAATCATCAAATCAGTATTATTGGTCATTGAATTCACGAAAAAATCACCTCTCTGAGTCTTCACAACTCACTCGAATTTGAGGTGTGTTCGGCGGTTTTCCTTTTTCTTCCAACAGGAATTATGTTTGATATGGAACAATCCGACTAGAGACCCGACATGTTTTATTTATTCAACCTTGTTCTGTGATCTACCTGAGCCTGAGGAAACACTGGTATCTCGTCAATACCGTAGAAAAGCCAAAAATGATGATAATAATAAAAAATAATGAATATTTCTTTTAATTTTTTACAAAGTTATGAAATTTTTAAAAGAATTGTCAGAAAAAAAAGGTCCGAGACTGGGAGTTCCTAAAAAACATTAACTTTTTCAAATCGATACTAACAGTAACGACAGTAAAAATCCCTGAATTTCTCTTTTGAAGATATACATGGTTTTGTTTTGTTTTTATTATATCTGGCAGTAAATTATAGGCACGTGGAGCCATCTGATCGGGTGATTTAAAAGCTAATCTGGTTTTTGTTTTCTTGTCTTATATCGATATTATGTTCACATTTATTCGGTACAAACGAATTGAAAAGACTCAAACACAAGTCAAAAATCAAAAGACTTGGAACTGTTACAACTCTTAAATTTTTGAAAGCATTAGAGCAACGAGAGGATAGACCCCAGAAGCACACTCCATATCTCAGTCTGGAACCAATTTGAGCATACCACAGTCTCATCAGTTAATCAAAATTCAAAACCTGCCTAATTCGGATATGATATGAAATAGAGACAATTGTTTTGATTAGGAACTCACAGTGGTTCCGCCAATTCAAACGGTTATCAATGTGAAGACGTAAAAATTTCAAGCTCGAATATTTTCTTGTTAAGTCTCGGACTCATCATTTGTTCTGGAACTGATGATATCACATTCCCGTTGCCGATGATGAGATATCATTGAATCTGTTTTCTTCGCGATCAAAAACGAATTGTTTGAAGAAAACCATTTATTATTACTTCAAAAAATTTGGTTACATTTTCTTTCAAAACTGATCCTGATATAGGCTGAAGTCGCATATGCTAGACATGCTGACAGCATATGCATAAGAGCCTCAAATGTCTGGCAGGTAGTAATATTTATATTCATTACACGACTGCGAGAGACCAAAATGTTGACGACACCATCGTGGCACACCATGATAAATCTTTCAGTTTTCCACTTCAGTCTACTCTACCTGACAGAAGCAGAATCCTTTGATGATTCAAGTTCTCCAAAGTTGTTAAAGAAAACGAAATATAAACGATACAAAACGGAACACCTATAAGGGTCTGAGAAATATGGTGACAGCTGCTATATGGAAAAAAACCTATTTGAATTTCATTAAAAATCAACAAAATGCTAAAAGTCTATGGGACATATTATACACTTATTTGACATTGTCAATCGTAAAGACGGGAAAGATATTGTTGAACACTTCTCCAATCCAAATGAAATAAACAATCACTTTATTACTTCGGTCACTCAAATTGCCACTGAACCTCCGGATACTCTTTTTAACTTCTATAAAACAACGCAATTTCAAGAAAATTCAACTTTTAAATTCTATAAAATCCAAGATGGATGATATTAACATGATAGTCAACTCCATAAAAACGAATGCTACCGGATCAGATTAGATATCTATCAAAATAATCAAAATATGTATCCCTTACTTAACTCCAGTTCTAACATATTTAGTCAACGAATGCCTTGAAACTAGTATCTTCCCGGAACTATGGAAACAATCTATTATTTTTCCTATGAACAAAATTTCTAAAAATTTCACACCAAATGATTTGAGGCCCATAAATATAGTACCGGCAATATCAAAAATTGTAGGAAAGGCAGCCTATAGTCAGATATACTCTTATGTCTATGATAATAACATCCTACCTGAACACCAATCTGGTTTTCGTAAAATCACAGTACATCTAGTGCTCTGTTGAAAATGACCGATGATATTTTTTCAGCCACCGATAATGAAAGGGTCACTCTTTTCTTGTCTCTCGATTACAGTAAGGCTTTCGATACCATGAATCACGATCTGATGTGCGCTAAACTTGTTTTTTTTGGTTTCAGTATAGAGGCGTGTGACTTTATTATTTCATTTCTAAAAAATAGAAAGCAACGTGTTGTGATAAAGGGAAGTCAGTCTGATGATATGAGTGTATGTCATGGAGCCCAACAAGGTTCAATTCTCGCCCCGCTACTCTTTATTATCTACACATATGACTTCTCCAAGGTTCTTAAGTTATTCAACATTCATAGTTATGCAGACGATACTAACTTGTACTATTCCGATAAAGTAAATCAGCTTATTGATCACGAAACATCGCTCAATAATGATATAAAAAATCTTGTTTAGATTTCGCAGCAACACTGACTAAACCTTAATCCTAGTAAATCATCTTTAATAATTTTTGGAAAAGCCAAAGATCGTGGAAGGGCCATAGATAATATCGATTTTTATATTGATGGACATTCTGTGGAATTGACTGACAAAATAAAATGTTTAGGACTTCATATAGACTACAACCTCAGATTTGTTCATCAAGTTAATATTCTCATTCAAAGGTCGTACGGTACTCTGAAACAACTGTATTCAAACAGACACTAACTTAGTTGGTGAAATTACCCTTTCAGACGTACTGATTCTATCTGTGTTCAATTATTGCAATGTCGTCTATGGCCCTTGTATCGATTTCATAACTTCTGCAAGAATTCAGAAAGTACAGAACGCCTGCATTAGATTAATATTCAGTTTGAATTACAGAGATCATGCGACTCCTTCAATCAATCAATTGAATTTTTCAAAAATGCAAAACAGAAGAGGATTGCATTTCGCCTGTTTCATTCACAATTCTTTTTTTCATTTTCATTTTACTATTGTCCTGAAATTGCCATTTATTTTTTGTAATGTGGTCTCTGTTGCTTCACTCATTGACAGAGTTGAGGTCATCTTGTTCAGTTTCTCAAAATGAACTCAGTCCAATGAACGTGCAAGCAGCTACGTTAGGAATGAATGCTCTAACTTCTGCTGTCTCATGATGCAGAGAAGGGGATCCAAACTTTTGATAACTAAATCTAGTATCATTTTGCTTCGTGGATACTCCAAACTGACGGTCTACCTTTGGATCCGTGAAAGGGACGGTTTGGGATGCAAACTCCTATGGAGATCCATCATTTTTCGGATGTTTAAACTTCCTTCAAAATCCAATCCACTACTCAAAAGTAGTTAAGTGAAATGGAAACATTAAACATATATTTGTTGCAGCAAATTTGTTCTTTTTCGACTGTCAGGATGACCAGATATGTCAGTATGCTGCAATTTGCCTCGGAGAGGGTTCTACCATGAGGTTGCCTCACGTTAGTAGCGTTGTTCAATCTCGTGGTGAAGATATTTTCCTTAGTTATTGAGACGATATCTAAAAGGAGCACTCTCATACTATAACTCCCTTGAGATCCAATGGAAATCCTTCTATCCAGACCCATGAAGTTTGGGGTCTTCCACGTAGAACGAATGCCTCATAATGATATCGCTCAATGTGACCTTCTCTGTCTTGACTCTACTTTGCTACTGTGCAGCGGAGTTTTCAGAGTGATCAGTTGTTGAAGGCATTTTTTTTGACAAGACATCAGAGTGAATGCAATATAAACGCATGCGATGTTGGTACAGTACATAAAGAGGTTGTTGTACCGCAACCTTTTTGACTTTCTATATCAAGGAATTCAAGTGGATCTGATTCACACTCCTCAGTCACAAACGAGAGATCTGTCTTCGATTCGTTTCATCAGTTTGGAATTCCATTGTCTAATATGATGTAAATTGATTTGAAATACCTGAAAGAATCTGTAAAAAAATGAAAAAGAGATTAGCTGAAAAATAACAATTATATCAAGAAAAAAAAACTGAAATTGCAATGAAATAAAATACAAGCAACAACCAAAAAAATTAAAAAAAAACTATCAACACGAGATGAAAATTAGAAAATTATTAACAAGAAATGGAAATTAAAACAGTTACTTCACGACGTTTCGATTGTTAGTATCCACAATCGTCTTCGGGTGATAACTGGACTTATTACTCCGAGATCTGACTTTTTATAGGTCATTCGAGTGCTTTCACCTATCCCCTCTTTCCGCTTCATCGGTTTTAGCTGAAGCTGACCGTTTGGCGGGAGTTGGTCGTATTCAGCTTGATTAGAGGTTTCCATATATTGCGTATCTCTACGCTAGCTTGACTAAAGGCGTTGTTGGACAACATATATGCAGCTTCTTTGGATTTTCTCCTAAACCAGTGTTCTTCCTTATGAATGATTTCAGCTTGAAACCACTTGATGTTATGTTGATGAGTTCAAACGCGCTCTGCTATTCCTGATTTGCTGGTTTCTTCTCGCAATGTCCTATTAGTTTCACCGATGTATGATTTTCCGCACTCGCAAGGTTTCCGGTAAATGCAATTTTTGGCATTGCAGTCCGCGTTTGAACCCAATCCTTCTTATTCTGGTTGTGGCGGTTCTCTTCCTTGTGGAGCTCTTGCTATGTTCTAGCTAATGCCTGTCCCACTTCGAAGTAACCAATTCGTTTAAGGTCATTTTTGAAGAAACTGATGGAAGAACTTACGTTGTTGATGTGCTTCAGGAAGGTATCTAGTTCTGCGTTCCCATGGTTCCATATTATGAAGGTGTCGTCTACGTGTCTCAACCAGACTCTGGGCTTCTTGTGGGCTTTTTCAATGGCCGGAGTTTCAAACCATTCCATATATATATATTGGCTATAACCGGTGAAAGTGGGATTCCATTGGCAGTCCTTCATCTTCCGTAAAGAATACGTCTTTCAGTTGGAAGTAGCAGTTTCGTACACAGCATTCTAGTAATTCCACGATTACTCGTATCGGTAGGTTTGTTCTATCTTTCACGTCCATATCTTCGTATAGCTTCCTCTGTATGATTGGAAGTAATTTTTCGACAGGGACGTTGGTGTAGAGGCTTTCCACGTCTGTCTTTTAATACGCGTTTCACTAATCAGGAGATGATTAACTTTCCAAAATTAAGTGGAAAGTAGTTTCACTAGTTTGATTTTACGTCAGAGTTTCCAGTTTTTCCTATCAAACCTAAATGACTGAATAATCTAGGCGGATGTGCAATCAGCACTGTAAACCTCAGTTTGTGATTCTGTGAAATTGAAACTCATATTCTACAACTTTACAATCCATAGTTTGTACAAAAAAAAATGTCCAACAACAAATTCGAATCACCCTCAATACATCTGTATCATTTTCGTGTAAATATTATGGAAAGCTTTGGATTTCGCGTCTCGACGAGAACAAATATGTGCATGGTAACAAATCAGGAGCTATCTTCATTACAAAATCTAAATTTGTAATCTTGGACTCACGCTTGGCGAGCGCCCAACATTTTTCAATGACGAATCACGAAACTATTGTTTGCTGAACGCTGTTGGTTTTCGTAAAAAGCTTCGCCGTTTTGTTTGGTTTTGTGATCGGATTGTTGTAGTGTAGTTGTTTGAAGTGAGTATTTATTTGTTCTTTCGCTAGGTGTGCAAGGTTTTATTTTAGGAAAAATATGCGCTGATTGGAAAATTATGACGTGTCAAATGATGTGACGTAGGGACATGGCCTACTTGGAGAATTTGGTGTCTGTTGTTTCAGACTTGGCCCAGTTTGATGTTTATTATTCGCTTGTGATAAATCGGGGGTTAAGTTTTTTATTGGTTTCCACATAATCTTGATTGGTGTCTGAAAATGTTGATTCCAAAACTGTTCATGAAGGGAAACGCAGATTGGACGTTCATATTTTGCTAACCTCTATTTTTTCTCGAAATCTTCAAGGGTAGTTGTGGGATACTTCTTTCTATATCTATATAATCACCCAGCTATATTGACACAATAGTTCATTATCACTAGATCTTCTATTATTTTTACATGAAGGAAGAAAAACACAATTATCTGACGTATCGACGTGATCTACTTGGAAATTTTGGTGTCTGTTTTCGTTTCAGACTTGGCCTAGTTTGATTATTTGCTTGTGATGAATTGGAGGTTAGGTTATTTCTGGGTTTTCATTCGATCCTGGATATCTGGAAATGTTCATATTGAAACTGTTTTTGAACAAAATAATAGGTTGAAAGTTATAAGATGGGATATTTAATGGACATTCTCAATTGAATACTGAGATGGGGTGACTGCGCCAATTTACTAACTTCAAATAATAAATAATTCGAATCCTTGCCATGACCACAGGGTCACGTGGCAATTTAGCGCATCGTGATTGGCTGGCTGCGGACCACGTAACAAACTAGGCGCATTCTGATTGGCTGGGCAACCTGTCTGCCTACGTTGCGAGTATGTCTACTCAACGTATACTTCGTTCTATTTTTCAGAGAGTTCTGAAATATGATGCATGGAGTTAGTTATGAAATTTGTCGGTAGTTGTTGAATCGATGACTATTTTGTCTGTTACTCTCTGTATGTATACACTCGTGGTTTATGTCGAAGTCTTGGTTGTTTTCCAAAAGATTGCATGCATGTATTACATGTCATCTCTCTAATTTAAGACCCTTTTGTGTTCGGAGATTTTGGTTCTGATTCTGATAACATAGCCGTGATTGAGAGGGGTGATTGAAATGGTTGTTGATAGTTGTGTTTGTATGGGTTGATGTGTGTTGAATTGCGAAATCATGTTCGTTGTTGAATAAATCAACAAATACCCGATGGTGGGGATGAAAAATCTTTCTCTGTAAATAACCTCATTTCCACTTCTATAGTATACCTTCAGTTCAAAATCGTTATAATGAAAATAATATCCCATAACGCAAATGTTCTATCCGAGTTGTATCAACGAGAGAAGTTTTTTATCCCATTTCACTTGTCAAACTTTCAGCCCCGGATCAAACTAATCGCAACTCCTCCGACTTTCCAGATAGAAAAAAAATGCTGCAAATCAAATATTTCCCAGGAGAGGGCTACAACTACCAGTTCTTTCCTGATTATCGATTCTACTGCGACGAAAAAATTCAAAGACCTCTCAGTTCTTATTACGACTGGCCACATAAGACGCGTATTTGGTTACCTTATAAAAATTTGAGGCTCTATTTCGATTATATGCCATCGAGGGTCCCCTTTAGGGAGCAGCGAGTAAGTTTTTTGTACGCGAGGAAGGAGGGTTTCAGCACGGTCAGTCGAGGAAAAATTTGAGTACAGAGAAAAAAGTACATGAGAAAAGATACGATCGGTTCAGGTAGCAAGGTTAATATATTTCGACTGTTAATGAGAAATTTTAAAAGATTTACATCAGGAGTTTCAGAATTATGTGTATATTATACAGTGCATAAGTCATTTGATTTCTTATTAGCCAATCCCCCCTGTTAGAAATGAGAATAAGGGTCAAATCAATGAATCGAAGTGTATCAAGTGTATAATTTTTAAAATTCTTGCAAAGCGCTTTCAACTTTCGTCGTCATCATTGCTCACCTGAAAGTAAGTGATCTAATTGAAAATGAAGTTTAGTGAAAATTGAAGTTGCAAATTTTTATTTTGATCTCTAAGGTTAAGCTATTTGGAAAAATTGTTTAAGGTTACTTACTTGTCAGGCCAAAGGAAGTATCAAAATAAGTACATTGCACATTTGTAATATTTGACTTATAGCCAAGAAAATACATTTTTGGATTGAGGCCATGTGGTTCAGTCAAAGTATTATATGAAAGGACAACTTGAGACAGGATGTGTTAAGTGTCACATGTCACCCCGAATCGATCCCTCTACGAAACCCTTTTTCACTTGGAAGGATCGATCGCAGCTTGAGAAATGGTTCTTATGGAGATTCTGTGAAACGTGTTCTTCCTCTTCCTTACGAATCAGTAGAGAGTTGTCCTGAAAATCTAGAGAAGAAAAGTAGATTGGATAATTTAGGAAACACTTGTTACATGAATAGCATTTTACAAGTGTTGTTCATGACGAAGAATTTCAAGAACGAAGTTTTAATGATGAACGAGAACGGGAATGTTTCCTGCTTATTCATCAAACTCAAACAACTGTTCATGCAGCTGCAGTTTCGTAAGAAGGTATCATCTTTCCCTCCAACCGATTTCTGGAGTCTCTGAAGTCCACTAGATACTCGTTAGGACAACAAGAGGATTGTTCCGAATTCTTGGGGTTCTTGTTGAATCCTCTTCGTGAGCAAAACAATAGTAAAATCAATACTCCCAGCCGCTCTGGACTGAATGATTCCGTACAACCCATCTCGTCTTGTGTTTGTAAATCTTTTGCTGGAAAAATCCTCACTTGTTTACTTTGTGGTAAA